GTAGGATCAGAAGTTGCTCTCAATGGCTGTAGTTTTAAGTGAGTGGAGGCGTATAACAAATACAATTCTTGTTTATTCTGAGCAATATAAAAATACGCAAAATTAACCACATGCTTTTTCTTTTTCAGACAATTTAAAAATTTTCTTTGTTTAACTGCCTTAGTTCCAACATTTGACTAAACTTCTTTATATTTCAGAGCTACGCACACACAAGCAAACACCTTTCTGTCCCAGGCTAAAAGAAGTGTCTCAGAACTGTCACAAATTTATATGTCAAACCTTATATTATTCCTTAGCTGAGCACTGATTAGCATGCTCATAAATCTAAAATATGTCTCTCGTTCATCACTGGAGTGTTCCCTAAGCTTTTATGGATTTGTTTGCAATAATATTAGCACACCAATAGCCATAGCATATTAAAAAGTAATTGCAATGAGACAGGTAATTATGTAAATACTGCAAACTTTACTAGCTAGCTCTGCTCCCTGCGTGTCCCTTTGAGCCATGCTTGTTAACTCATTGACAGATGAGCTCCCACTGCCGTGAGAGACGTTCACTCCCAAACCCATCCACAGCTTTTAGCACTGCGCTTTTCCCCCAGATGCCTATCGGTTCAGTTCTGATTAAAAGAGCCAACACGGGAGGCAAGAACCGAATCAAACAAGTAGCTGTCACGATGCAGGAGCCATGGATCCTTCTGGCTCCGCTCCCACCGCCGCTCTGCCTACCCACAGCTCCCTCCTTTCTCTCCTGTATTTCCCAGCTCTGCTCCACAGCCCGCAGGGAGCTGATGAGTCTCCTTATAAGGCTTTTTTCTCCTTTCCTCCTCCTTCCTCTGTTTTCTCTGTGTGATGGAAACCGAATGGTTCCACTGCATTTTGGGTCTTCCTCTGTTGGAGAAGGCCAGGAAACTTTGTACTTAAACCAGCTAAGTGGGGAAACTCCAAGAGTTTCTGCAGTGGCTTTTCTGACTCCTAAGGACTCTTTGAAGAAGTACTGTTTTGTAGATGACACAGTATTCAGTGGCTATCCATTTTCTTCATCTCTAATTGGCAAAACAACCGACAGCAGTTACTGTATCATTTTCTCAATTTGTGAAATTGAAAGCAATCTTCATTAACATAAAAAGCAGTTGGCAAGCTGGGAAAAACAGCATTCTCATTCTTTGCTGGTGTACCTTCAGCTTGGTACACAGAAAATGTTGGCCCTGATCCTGGTCAGGATTGCTTTAAGTTTTATACTGGCACCATTCCATTGCTTCCAGGGAAGTAACTTTTAATGCCTGTCTAATATCATTTAATAATGATTTAAGTCCATCCTTATTAAATTTATCTGACCGTGTGTTAAATGCCTTCCTAGAAAATTAAAACTAAACCAGGTTTGAATAGCTTCCAATGAGCAGAATATAGTTGATTACACTTGATCATGTCTATTTTTCCTCATATGGATATTGCAGTTTTTTATGTAGTACAAAGCATTAGACGTGGGGAGAAAAGAAGGTTCTTGTACTAATCACGAACTTTAGCAAGGAATTACACACACCAAAAAACCCCAACCTGCTAGCATAGAATACCTCTGCTTCCAGTAGCCAAGTGAGAGAATGCAAATCCATAGATGAAAAATTCCAGGTACCTCAATCGGCAGATAATTTTGAAACAACGCTCAGTGTAGTAGGCTTCATCTCACTTGACTGGAGTGAAAGCCTTGTTCTCTGCAATAATTGCATACGCTTACCTGCTGCCTTCCTGAGGGATACACTGCTCGACATCCACTGACAGAGAGGCCATAGCAGATACCGTTTCTGTCTCCTCCCTCTCTCGTTTCTGAGACTCGGCCAGAGCACAATCCACTGGCACAGAGTATGGCTCCACCGACTTCCAGTACTTGCCTAAGGAAAACACACATAACAATTTATGGGATTTTTAGCTAGCATGGTGGTACAAGCATAGTAATCACTTAGTTCAACACTGGGTGATTATAATTTAAAATCACTGTGGTGTAAGCAGTACAGTTGAAATTTCAGACCTCAGTGAAGAGGTATATTTCTGAACCTAAGAATGCCAAGTTGGAAAGTGCTTTCATTCCAAGGTCTGTGTCACACCCTTCCCCAGAAGGTAATAAACTGGAGGAGTAACACACAGGCTAATGAACTCATACTGTCAGACAAGCTGTTGGCTTTATCTATAAAGGTGAAGGGAGTTCAGGGCAGGGTTAATACCTAGAAGCTCTGATATGGCAGACACTTGATGCATATACAGCAAATAGGACTAGAAAAATGAACATTGTTGTACAAAGTGCTCACACAGCACTGTCCTGAAAAGGAAAAAAGTCAGAAATGCCAGCTCAGACTGAAGTGATGTTGCCAGAACAATCAGGTTTGTTAGTCCTGGATGTTCTTTCTCCTCCAACCTCAGGGCGTATACTAGAACAATAATTTATTTAAAACTTTCATATATGAACTGGCTGTTGCTGGAAAGCTGCCAGATATCATAAGGAATAGAGCTTTCTGGTTTGCTGTGTAAAAACACAGCAGTGGATTAAAAGCATGAGTATTTCTGCCTGCCACAGAAGAGACGGTAAGAAGCTTCTCGAGCAACACAAACAATAGTGGCAGGTGACTCATCATCAGCATATGAAATGGTCTGCTACTGCAGTGCTATTAAGAATCAGAGATTGATTAGTGGTAACCAGGTGAACAAGTAAGAATTTACATATGTATTTCTTACAGTCCAGTAATCCACCGAGCACTTGCTAATTGCCAGGTGGATGACACCTGGAAATTAGGAGCTTTGGGAAGGCTGGGAGCTCTGGACCAGAGCTTATTCGGTGTTTAGCAAGAAGCTTCCAGCAGCTGCTGCAGAGGTTGGGTCAGGGTACTTATCTGGGAATTAGACGGAGGGTTTCAACAGCTGTGAAAGAGAGGGGATCAAGAAGGGGACTTTTCCGAGGGCTAAAAGGAGGATTTTGGCAGCTGGGCAGCGGGCTGAGTCGAGGTGCTTATCCAGAGGGTAGCTGGAGGCTTTGACAGCTGGGAGGCCAGGCCAGTGGTGGTGCTGCCTGTGCTGCACAAAGGCTGCTGAAAACTCCCTCGCTGGTGACACAGATCTCAACACAGTTTCGGTCTTTTCGAAAGACAAACTTTTTCCTCCCGTGAGAAAGCAGCTGTCAATAAAGCCTGAAAATGTCTTTATTCAAAACTATCATTGCAAGATGAAAGCCCAAGTCAATCTGTGAGAACAACCGGTGAGCATGGCCAGCGTGTTTCTTTGAACTCTAATAGTGTGCACGTTTGAGTAGTTAGCAGAATCTTTAAATAACGGGGACCTTCTGGGGATAAAATGTAAAGTGTATTAAGTATCCTACAAAGTTGAGATTAAGTGTTAGGAGGTTGGCTTTGCTCCAAAAGCATGAAAGACATAGCTAAAAAGTTATGTACATAACAGTAGGCTCAATGATTGGAGCCTGGCAAATTTTATAAAAACAAGACAAAAATATTCTCTATTATTACTGTGCTCAGAGACCATATTCTCTATTCATTAAAAAATACACTAAAAACAAACAAAAAAGTTATATGAGCATTCCACAATGTTCTCACAGATCATATGTGCAAAAGTCAGTCTTTGCAATATACACCCAATTCAAACCCTATAATTTATGAGCTAAATGTTCGCAGAGTGGGTGGGGTTTTTGTTGCAGAAACAGATGTGCAAGAAAATCAAATCTGTTGGCATGGGAATAATACCCCCTCTTGCCTATAAAAGAAATGAACCCATGTTCACTGCTGGAGTTTTCAAGGGCTCTTATTCATAAAATAAAATATTAGTACCCAGCTACCACTGTGTTGCTCTCCTGCAGCAACAATAAAACAGCATCAGTGAGGATTGCTACATCGCATTCGTTCATTCACACACCAGCTGCCCCCTGAATCCTGACTTTCTTGTAACACTAAAACTCAGGGCCAATTCAAGCATATTAGTGGGCTCACTGTGCCCATTTAACTGCCCTCCACTCCCAAGCGATCGGTGATTTTCCTTGTTTGCTTGCATTGAGAATTGTATTATAAGAGGGGCTTCAGCGATAAAGAGGGAGAGCGGAGTCAGGCCAGGAAGCAGGTGGCAGCACCTATGCTGCAGCGGAGGGTCTTGGAGAAGGGGAGTACATGGCAGGGTGTTTGTGGGAGGAAATTTTAAAGCACTCTTAATTAGAAATAGCATCCAGGTAGCAGTGAGTACCTCCTGCAAAGAGGGCTTTCTGATACTTGTGAAAAAGCAGCGGTAGTATTTTTCTTTGAAATCAGAAAGTTGTACCGCACAAACACCTGTGGCAAGCAGAACAGCTTTGTAAGATTCTTTTTATAAAGAACAACATTTATATCTGGTGCACAAAACATACAGGGCTTGCATGTGTGTTCAACCAAAATATTTGCAGGCAAAGTCTTGTGGAACAGAGAGGCAATCACAGCATGCGGCTGCAAAGGAGCTTTCTTAGAAACCTTAGGTATGCTGTGGATTGACAATTAAATGAGCTCAAAAAGCATCAAACTGTTAACATCTCTGCAAATGCCATTTCTACTGGGCTATACTGGAATGTGAAATTCTACCAGTCCTATTACATTCATTGAGAAGAACTTGGTGGAGCTCAGGGGAAAGAATGAAGCATACTGCTGGTTTCATTCATACAAAACTTGAAGAGCAATCACGGCTTGCAAGAACAATGAAACCAAATCAGTCTTCTAGGTATGCTTTGGCTTTCAGCATGAAAATGTGCTTAAGTCTCCTTCAAAGATTTGTGGGACCACTGGTTATTACCAGGAAATAATAAAAGTGAATGTTTCTGTCACTGTTACAGGCATTTCTAACTGCCTTTCACAGACAGATTTGAACATGCCGTACCATGGCTTGCTTGAAGAAAAACAGTTTGGGGGTGGTATTCAAGCTAGTGAACAGGATTGTTTAGAAATAGCATATTACAGGAGTGTGGGAACTACTACTTCCAAATGTATTACATTTCCAAAGGAGCTTTGGATCACTGTCACAAACAAAACATTTATACAAATTCCATTCTAGTTAGAAAAAAGTTGTTTCCTCTCGCTGTCTAACTAAGTATTGTATCTTCATTTTTTTGCAGCAAACGCAGAGGAGGGATCTTTTTTGTCTAAAATATTGCTAATATTCATGGCCAAAGTTGGATCACAGAAATACAGAGTCAATATACGTGCAAGCAATCGCCCAAACAAATCAGGCTTTTTCAGTATCTCTTGAGGTGCTACCCCACAGCCTAATGTTTTTCAGCCTGCATAACTCCCAATAATATTCACCATGTACTTGCTTCTCTTAATTCCATCTAAGTATGCATCCTCCATAAAGCTGCACTAAACTTCCTCAATGCTCCTTTCCATCATCCAAGCATATTCCTGTCTAATACTTGGTCTCTCTCCAGACAAAATGATGTATGCATAACCTTTCAGGTAATAGCTGCAAGAAAAGACAGAATATTGTGTACAAATAATTCCAAACCCTGAGGAGCCTGACTTAAGGGTTCAGAAGAACAGCCCACTGGACTGCTGTGACTGAACCAGCACAGCTCAAGCCTAAGCTTGTTCTGAAAAGGCAAAGTTAAACCACTCTAGAGAACTCTGAACTATGTTTTTAGACACACACTATATATTTGTTCCTAAATCCATTCCTTCTTTCTGAACTGCCATCATTTGTGTGTATTTCTAGTAAGACACTATGCCTTTCTGGAGCCAGTATTAATTATATTTTTTCTCTCAATTCACCTTTTTTTTTTTCAGATCCATTTTCATTAAATATATGTCTTATTTCAAACAGAATTGCATGTTCTTTCTTCATGTCTGTGGCCTGTGTGCAGCTTTCTGTCTTTATTATCATTTGCAAATCTGCTCTGTCTTGCATAGTAGATGAATTTCCTTAACTTGCTGATTCCTTCGAGATCATTAACAGGGAATTTTAGGGAAGATACTAACTCATGAGCTATGCTAGGACATACCACCCAGCAAAAATGACTTACTGAAATTTAACATATACAGCTGATTTACTTAGAGCATTTGCATATCTGTGTGACTACTGGATATGAAGGATGAATTATGTACCAACAATGAATTTTAATTGTCACTTTACAACTAAAATCTGACTGATAATGACTGCATGATCAATGGATAATGCATGGTGTCCCTTTTAAAAACTGCATTTATTTTATACAGATGAATCCCAATTATTTGTGATTCATCTAATATGAAGCAAAACATTCGTTATCCATTTGTTATTGTTAAGGAGCCAGCAAACAGTAGAAGCCAGGAAGCTCCCACTGCCTCGGTTAAATGGCAGAAAGCAGAAGATTAGAGAATTTAAGGGAAGTCTGCTCAGTTGGATTAAGGCAACTGATAGCAAAGAGAAAATTTTTCAGCAAGACCACAGCAAATGCCCTAAAGCATCTGGGTAGTAAAGGCCTGGGGTCAGGGCACACAGGTGAAGTATCCTCTGCACCAGAAACAGAATAAAATCATGTATTTGTTAGCATTGTTCCAGGGATCAGTGCCTATTTTGAGCTTTTTAACTTTATTTCAAGCTCCTGTACATCTCAAAGTGAGTAACTTGTGAAGGGCTGCATAAACAGAATCTAAAGAAACTATGTGTTAGACCTCTAATTTACCTGTCTGTCCCTCACTGACAAACACCTATTTCATCCAAGCTGCTCTGGAATGGAAAGATTTGGGAAAATTCGGGAATCAGAAATCTCTAAATAATTTCAATGGGATAGTTTTTCAGGGCTAAATACATAGCAGAAATGAAGCAATGTCAAAGAAACAAAAATAAAAGCATATATATATATGTACTAGTATATAAAAATACACATATTAGACACAGCATGTTGGTTTATACATAAAACATTTGCCCACTTTTTCCTCTGAAACAATAGTTTAATGCTATGCCATTAATTAATAATAAAAAAATACCCCAAACCCACCAACCAACCAACCCAAACTGAGAAACATACTTTGAATTTCAGTGGTCTTTTTTAAAGAAGCTATTGCATTCATATTGGGGATTTGGTGCACAATATCTTCCGGGAGAGGCTCCAGCTGCAAGAATAGAATAGAATAATATAAATTTTCAATAAGCCACAGGGAAGTAAAACAAACTGAAACAATCTAATCCTCAGGAAAAGCTCAGCCCAAGAACTGGTTAATATTTTGCTGGTATCAGTTCTAAAAGTATAGCCATGATTTTGTTTTCTGTTTTCGAGCCATGTAATTGAATTCCAAGGGGCTTTTCTATTGGCTGCAAGACTAATCTATGGAGTCTCTGAAGCAGGTGCATGTCTGTGTATTATTCATTAAAAAAATGCTAGTTATTTGTGTAATTTTTGTAGGTTCCTCACAAACCGAATTCCACTGTGTCTGTATACGCAGCTGGGCACTCCAAACAAAACCTTGCTGAAGCCACACTGGAACCGAAGTGTGCACTCTATTATCTTTATTTTTCTGATGTTATTACATCTAACCATCTTACACATTTTAAGATTTATAGGGGAAAACCAAAAAACACAGCTGCTTTTACTAGCTTTGCATTAATTTCAAATAAAGTGGCAGATAAAAAATGGTTATGCGGATGAGCAGTAAGAGTTCTCTAAGTAAGTTTTTTATAGAGTCAGCTGCATTTTAAGTAGGCAGTTTTAATTGTATGTACTTTCAGTAGGGCTGCATCATAGTCAATTAGCAGAAGGAAGTGTTCAGTTAATGCACAGTTATTTTTGCCCTGCAATGGACAGATATACCAAGCAAACTGTATTTTAAAATCCATCCACATGTGCTTTTTTGTCCACCTTCCACATATTTTCTCCTAGAAAAAGTGTAAAAGATTGTTTGGGCTAAATGCCTCTTCTTGTACTGTAATAATGATATTCTCCTTGAGCTATGCTTAGAGTCCAGCCAGTTTTTCTGCTTTCCTGCGTAGGCTGCTAAGGCTGCTTCCTGCGGAGCTGGGAGTAGCAACCATGTCAAGGTAGACAAGGAAGAGTGATATCAATACCAATCTCTCTTCTCTAAAGCTAAGGAAGTTCGACCATCGCTGACAGGAGACATCTGTACTGCAGACAAAACTCCTTTCTTAAACATGCCTGGATCTCCTTTAAACTAGGTCAAGTGAAGCCCACCCAAGGAGCTTCCTCTGTGAAGTTAATAGTTCAGTAGCCATCATATATTGTCCTCCGGGTTGCTACTGCTGCACTGCTATCCACCAACTAGATAAAATCAGCTTTGATCCAAGTACACAAAGTAGGAAGTAACTGAAGCATAGATACTCCCTTAGTGGTGCTATTTTAAGCAAGCGTAGCTACAAATCCCAGAACTTCTGGGATTTTACCATTATGAACAGCAGTGAATGCCTGTTAGTGATAAAGACATTGCAAATATCACCAGTCTTTTGGAGTCCTGGTAACTAAAATGAATAGGGCTGTTCGTGTCATTATTTCCTTGGAATCCCATATGAGATTGCAGCTGGAAGATTTCCTTGTGGCTACAAACAATAGCACTATGTTTTGTTTTCAAGTAGCATAAATCACTCCATTCTGGGCAGTGAGCAAGTGTGCAGAGAAGTGCGGGTAGGACCTGAGTGGGTCCCAACTCTGCTTGGTTACTGAGGAGCCAAACTGGAAAGGAAGATCATTGCTGTCGAATGTGTATCATGGATTGGAACAAAGAGAGCAATTACAATAAAAATAATATTTACAGATACATTTGCAATTCTTAAACCACATTCACTTCACAATTTTCATAGGTTACTCTATTTGGTAACTCATGCAGGTACCTGGGTGAAAACTGTGTATTTATGAAAATGCCCACCAACAGATCAAGCTTCACAGATTTTAGAACAAAAAAATCCATATAATAATCTTAAAAATCCATACCTTGGGTTATGTTCATAAATAGTACACACTTTTATCACTTGTTATTTTCTGTTTAAAGCAACCTGTCATTTGGCCAGGAAGTGGACAAAATCCTTAAGTTCTGTATGGTCATACTGGGTGCAAGAACACAGAAGGGGAAGCAAACAGTAGCTTAAGGTTCTGTTTTGACAATTTCCTAATTCCTAAGGCTTTAATGACCAATTCACTCCCCTGAAGTAGGAGAAAATAGCTCCAGGCTATAACAGTAGGAATAACTGGAATACAAGGTATGGAATTGCCAGACTGCAAGATCTGAGAGCTGTGTCTTGTTTTGCTCTTTGAGTACCTTGAGATTCTTTCTACAGACTTCTTGTACTAATTGTTAAGCTGGGAGCAACTGATGTAGGGGTAGCTAGAGGGAATTTCCTATTAAAAAGTGAATATTTGTTGTCTTCTTCAGAGTTGGACTTTTGCAGAAGCCAAGAAATTGTCTTGATTTTTCCTAATATATCAGCGGTACCTTTTTATTTATCAGTACAGAAATAAATTGCTTAATGAGTAGGCTACATTTGAATATTAGACAGATGAATATTTAGAAATGTCAGATGTGGTTTTAGAAATCAGGGGAAGATGATGAATTATTAAAGAAAAGAAGAAAAAAGTGTCAAACATCCAACAATTATCCCAATCATTACTCCATCTGTTAGCTCTGCTAACAGATCTGTAGGTGATGTGAATACAATAGTCATGTTTGATCATTTCCTTAATTTTATTCACAAAACTTTCATGTTGTATCCCAGGCTCAGCTTCTGCTTAGGAGCTATTCTGCCTCCTCACCCTTAGGGATAGCCAGTCAGAACTTTGATCCTCTTCCATATCAGGGAAACCTTCTCAGGCTCCAGAAGTAAGTTCATGACATCATATACCCTGTTCAGTCCAAATGCAGTACCGTTACAAAAACACCGTAGAAGTAAAGCTGGTGGCTTATGGCAGCTATTTCTATACACTTTGAAATGAGACTGTCTGCATTTGAAAGAATGATTTCTGTTGGCAGCCATCCACTAACTGGATACAACTATATAGACATAGGGGTGTCCCTGGAAAATATCAGCAGTTAGACCCAACAGTGAACAAAAGAAATTACTCTACACCTGGCATATATGGCACCATCACCTTCCCTCCTATATGTATTGGCATTCCAATCATGAAGATCATTAAATCTGAAGACTAACAGAAAGGAAGCTGAAAACAGCACTGGAAATACACTGTCAGGAAAGAAATCTTTCAGAGAAGAACAGTTCAAGTCAGTGCAGAAATAACCAAACCACTGGAGAGACAGTTTGGACCAGACACAAAGGGTCAAATTTTCAAAGATTTTATATGGCTGAATTGGGCTTTTGTGCCCAAAGTAGCAGATGAAAGTAGAAACTGTGTCCACCAATCATTTTCAAAGTAAGAAAACCAATGTAAATGGGCAAAAATCACTTGGGCTGCCAAAGTCTGCTAGAGGCATATCAACAAATGTTTGAAGAAGGAATTAACGATGGAAATTTCATGTGACCAGAAGGTGATCTGAAATGATCCCTGGGAACGTGAACAGAATCTGAAACTATGGAAGCCTGTACTGAGTGGGAATATCTAGAAATTCTAGAAATATCTGCATTGTCCTTAGCACTGTCATGTCTTAAAGCAGCAAGATTAGCTTCAGAGAAGATTGTTGCAGAGTGCAGTTAGAGATAACGGAAAAGTGAAGCGATTGGAAGCATAAGGTAAGAAGCACGGACAGTCCTGGCAAAAGCAGAGGAATGGGAGAAGTCAGGCAGGCTCCTCAGGGCTGCCCAGGGTGCAGGAGGAAGCACTACAACCTCCCTTTCCTGGATACAGGGTGCAAGAAGCATACTGGGACAAAGACTAGGCTTTGTTGCTCTTAGGGTTGCCTATGATTACAGAGGACTAAGATCAAAGATCTCACAGGTCCTCTGTGCTCTTATATTAACAATCTTCTCAAAGTTTCTGCACTTTATGTTTGTATATAAGCACTTTAGGCAAGTATTTTTGTGATCTGCTGTTACAATGCACTATGTAAATGAGTCAGTTTTCATTAGGGAATAGGTTCAAAGGCACAAGGGGTCATTAACACCTACCAGTCCCTGAAAAAAAAGGGATGCCTTGGAAATATGTAACTTCGGAATCAGAATATTCTCTGTTTCCTTGGCCAAACCACTTCCTGACTCACACTGCCCACCTTGGGAACTTTGATGTCACCATGCTGACCTCTGGCACAGTTTCCTACTCCATCTAATTCTCTATTTCTTGGCCAATTTCTGGATTCGGGGTTTATGCAAGCAGAAGTTGACAGGTGGCTTAGACTCAGTATTAATTATTTTCTAGTATTAGACTCAGATTAACAATGAGGATGTGAGATTGTGATCAAGTTTACCATGCAATTTAAAATTGATCTCAGGCCATATTCACTTCCATGAATATTTCCATTTTGGAGAGAGAAATGCTTACCTGTTCTGGCAAATAACCCCTTTTAACACAGTCCAGGCCCTCTTGGCAGAGCTCACTGCCTAGCTGGCAAGCAGCCCTAGATTCACACTGAATTCCACAAAGGAGAAAATGCCAACTCTTCATCATCAGCAGGACAGCTGCAGAGTACGAGCTTTCCACTTAAATTACCATCCTCTCCTAAATGCCAGCTCAACAGATTGCAAGAAAGAAGCACATACTTCACACTCTGCAAGAAAATTGTCCAGTATAAGTTTTCAAGCATGTTTGGGAGCCAACCAATCACAATGTTTTGTCAAATTCTGCTTCAGACTGAAATTCAAGCCAGAAGAATATTTACTAGAAGATGTTAAATTTAGTCACTTTAAAATGTTTTTGCACTTAGGGCCAAATTCAGCCTTGGCGGCCACAGTCAGTGAGAGCAGACATGCATCCTCTGTGTGCCTTTGTTGCAGGGTCCTGCTGGGCAGAGCACACTATGGACTGCACTTCTCTGTTTCCTCTGTGCAAAGAAGAGCATGACCCCATCTGTGACTAATTATCACTTGTTATAGACCACGGCAAACTGCTGTACCACATAGAGCTAAGAGATACCGGCCAAACCCTGTAGACAGATCAGAGGGACCGTGATGTTAGACTGACTTCTACGTCCCATGGAAATATCCCACCTGGCTGCTTGAAAAGGGACGGGATGAAGGAAGAACTAAATCCTTAGTGTTTAACTCAAAGAGTTTTGTGCTTGAAGGAATCCTTCCTCATTCTCTCTGGCTGCAGAAGAACTCCCAACTGAATACAGTTACGTTGGAAATAACCTGCAGGATTTAGGATACTGAACTCAAGGAAAGCTTATCCCTGAGGGCTTTTTAAACCAAGTAGCGCCTCTTCAAAAGTAAAGTGGAGGAAAGAAACTCAACCTATCCTCACATGTATGGAGCAGCATTACTCACCACCAACACCTGGCACCAAAAGGCATAGCAGAGGTCTTTAGAGCACTAAAGCTAGGATGGACAAAATAGTGTCGAATTTCCATTCTTCATGACAAAGATTTTGGGGGAAATACTCAATATTCAACTCAATTTTCACACACTTCTTGGAATAAAACACAAATCCTAACATTTGATGGTTTTCTTAATTGAAGTAATATATATATGCATTAAAAAGAAGTATTTGAAACTATACAACAAATCTGTGAAAAACTGTAGAATCACAATAATTTAGAGAATTGAATTTTAAGGACAAGAGTATATAATCATCTCAGAAATGCTTCATTTTAAAAGCAATGTATCTTTTCTTATTACCTGAGTCCATAATTCCCTTTGTTTTGACAGATGCTCTTTTAATGGACAAGTTCTCAAATCATGTTGAGAAAATTCAGGGATATTTTAAAACAAGTGATGCTCATCCTGCCTCTTTACCTTACAGAAGATTTCCATGTTTTCATTTTGGATTTCAAGGGAACCCAGCTGCTTAATCTCTTCTCACCTCTTAGGAAGATTTCCTTCCAAGAAGATAACCTACAGCGTTCCTAATTAGCTCTGCAAATGGTCAAATGGATTTTTTTCAAAGTGACTGGAAATTTTCCACTTCTGCACATAAGCATGCACAAAAAAACCTGAGATCTTGAAATCTTTTCAAAAAATAATTTTATATGTGAACTTCCTAATTAATAATTTTATCTTTAGAAAATGTATCCTTATCTTTACGTCTATAATTTCCTTTTTAGTTTTCTCATCATTTAAGGAGGGATTCACACAGCCAAACCAGATCAAGCCATTTCAGATATTAGAGTGTGTCTTGCCTGATTTCCAGCTGCCACTCAGAAAGGGTGTGGATCTCCTCTAAGTTCTGTGTTAGATCCTGCGCTGATGTCCTGCATACCCTATGGTTTCTAAAAAGGCACTAGGCACCTCTGTTTAGGGTCTTAGAAGGAAACAATTAACAATATAAATACCTCCAATCAGAGAAAACCAACAATTATAATTCCATTTGTGTTTCTGTAAAAATTTGAAATTGTTCAAATGTACTTCTGCAGAGAAGTCCAGGAGTATTGACCACACATAGATGGGGCTGATAGCTCACCTAAATTCTGATCTCTTCCAAGAAAAAGAGATCTTTTTAATAGTTTTTTTGGTTATTCTTCAAAATCAACAACTGTATGCAGGAATTTCCTGTGCCATGCTCAAATTATTTAAAGAAGATTAACTTGATAGTGTGTTCTTTTCCTAGTGGCTCCACTTGCATTTGTTAAGAGAAGAGTAGAAAGTTATCTTGCTAAACAGATCACTGTGCTACAGGCCATATATAACTAAGAGCAAAATATATCTATTTTGGATGTCAACCCATTTTTCTTACTGTTCAGAGACAAATGAAGAAAAGAAAGCATTTTTCACTTGTAAGTTTGATGTTTCCAATACATATCAGACCAGCTCTCCATGAAAGTTGGAAGTTGTGGCTAGTTTTACAATTACTCTTTTTTTTTTTTAAATGTTATTCTGCTGGTAATAGGACATACAAAGCAATGAATTTCTGTATTGACAAGTTCTGGCCAAAAACAACAAAAGAAAAGAAAAAGTTTTCAAAAAACCCTGCAAAATGTTTATGAATTCTAATCCTCAGCACATGAATAAATACATCTGACAAACTGCAGAGTACCTTACAAAGGCCTTTCCCAACCCTTATAATTTGAGTTCAATTACATGTGTAGTGTTTAGAAACTGAAGTTCATCGTGCCAATGTTTTTTGCACTACATGCCATTATTTGTAAAAATGAAGGGCAGATAATAAGTTATAATTATCCTATTAATCACCTGTAAAGAATTGCATTCAAGGAAGAATGCATCCTCAAATTGCAATAATTGATTGTTTGAAGAAAAACATTTTTTTCTGTCCTTGGCAGGAACACACTTGAAGTTTGCTGTGCAAGTTCATGAATATTATGCTGAAATCAAGCAATGTATATGCTATGGGCCATGTGGTGTAGATTGCCATAAATCTATAAATGTCAAAAGACATGTTGATTTCTAACTGCTAACTGGGTATCAGACTTCTTCATTAGTGTTTGCTCCTCGGGAACACCTTTATTCTTTTAAGCAAACATAATTTCTTATGGTAGTGTTGGTAACAACATCCTCTCTGAAGTATTTTTCTCTTCTTAGCAGCCACAGCATATATTCTCTTTGAGATTCTGCTGCATCAGACAATTTAATGCATGTAAGAGCACATGAGAATAACGCGTATTGCATGAGATATTTCAAGTTATTAATGATTATGTTCTTTTACAAGTGAATTAAAAATGGCTGCATGATTATGTTTGTCCTCATTTATTTAATAACCCAGTTATTGAATTTTTGTCTCTCCTGAAATTTGCTTTGCTACATTTTGCAAACAGATAGACTCACGATTTATCTAATTTCCCAGTCTCTAGTTACTCTAAAATAAAATGGAAGAAAGTGTCTATTCCAGTACACTTATTGCATTCCTTTTTCTCACAATCGTATTTTTTCTCAGATAATGGGTAGTCAGTGACAGCAGAAACAGTAATAGGGTGTGATATAGCGTTAAAACAAAACAAGACAGTTTTCATAAATGGGTAGCACCACCAAATGGTCATAACTGGATAGAGGGACCCAGGCACCTACGCAGAGGAAGACACATCACATCATCAGCATTGTACCATTTGCATTAGTCCCACACGGGTGCAAATTTCAGAGAATGGGTTTAGAAGGCCATTGATGCCATAAGATACTACCACAGGGAAGACGACAACAGAGACTATCAGTAAGAGTGCCCTCATGGCAGCTGATCAGGAAGGCAACACTGTATTCACCAAGATTGTCAAATACCTCAAGCTGGGTTTTGTAATCCATAGTTCGTCACCTAAATAAAAGGACCAACATTGAGCTGAGCATCTTTTTCAATAGTGCATGTCATCACAGTGGAAAAGTCTCCTTACGGGATTTGTCAAAGGTGGTAGTAGATAAAACCAAATGAAAGCTTTTTTTTTTTTTTTTTTTTTTTTTTGTGTGGACATGTCTACTTAACATTTCTGAGAATATTTTTGAAAAAGCTATCACTTTATTCAATGCATGTGTAACGCAAAATATAATAAGCATAAAAATATTTTTCTTGATGGGTCATAAAGATGAAAAGCAAAGGTTTAAAAGAACATTTTAGAAAATCCTTCTATCCAATATCCATCAGAAGACATATTACTTCATATTATTCACATAGGTACGAAGTCTTGAAGTGGAAGGGAACTGGCAGACTACCTTGCAATTTGGCACTAATACATTTGATTGGAGAGATTATATAGGTATTACCACTTCTCCCAGGGAAAAAGAAGTAACACAGTGCACTTTATAACAAGATCTTGCAAAATTCACAATTTATGGTAAAGGCTTTTGTCCTTCTTAAATTGTTTTGGCTGCATCTTCAGCAAACTTATTTTCCTTCTCACCATTTTCGAGGAGAAAAGATATTTTCTAGTGGACAATAGAACAATTTTCTCTAATATGAATGCTTATCTTGTGTTTGTATACAGAGATATCACATACTCAATTTACTTAGTGTGATAGTCCACTCTCAAAAGTTTTTAAGTAATATATACAGTGTTTTATAAATCTGGACACTCCATTTAAATTACATACAGATCAACCTGAATCTTTATAACTTAAAAAATAACTTTTTTGGAGTCTTGGACACATTTTTATTAATATTCAATTTCAAAAGCCTCTGAAATACATTCTTTCACATGCCAGTTGAAGTGTCAAAATACTGCAAAAAAAAGTGCCTTTGCAATATCCAGTTCCTAAGATTACCAGATACATTGCAAAAGCCATTTTTTTTTCCATGACAGTTGGCTGGAAGGTCTGATCCTGATAGATGATACGCACACCAATGACTACCAATGATGTCAAGTCTGGTATTCAGCACAGTATCACCAAAAGAAATTTTTAGGTATTAAATCTTATTCAGAACTGGGAATAATTCAGACAAACACTAAAGGATTTATATAATCATCTAATTTAGAGGTATTTATTCAAACCATCTCATCTGAGGTCTGCTCATTTCTCAGACGTGCTCAAATTGCGTGGTTTTTATACCAAATGAAATAAGGACTGATGCCATTGTTACTAAAAGAAAATCAAAGATAGGAGTTTCAGAGTACTTGGATCATTCTCTCCACCTACTATGATTTATGTTTTACCTCATTTCCTAAAAGGGCGTTTATACAGGCTTCAGATGCATCACAGATGGCAGTAAGGTCATGTCCTCCCTCCAGTGCCAGCACAACACGGCCATCCGCTAGCTTCAGCAATTGCTTGGTTAGGTGACCAAAACCTGGTATTCAAATACAGTAGTGCAAATAATTAAAGCAGAACAGATATTACTGACATATTTCACATCTGCTGCATGAGAATGTAGAAAGCTCACGGATATTGCACAGGGAGCAAGGGATATATTTAGTCCAGTATCCTGTTTCTGACTATGGCCCACACCAGATGCTTTGAGGTTATGTATATGGAATTTTGTATGAGGCAGATGTGAGATAGTCCCTCGTGCTGATCCCTAATAGCTGGAGAGTAGTTGAAACATGAAGTTGTCTCTCTTCTTAGCCTCATTAACCGTTATCACCCTGGATTGTCTTCCTATTTGCACATCAATGTAACATATACCCATGTTATGTAGAGAGACCAGACATAACCCTGGTCACTTACGGCATCAATATGACAAATAATATTTGTAGTTAAACTATGATACTATAATTAAAAATAATTGTTATTTTTAAATGAGGTGATGAAATTTTTATTTACAAATTGCTTCTTCCTTTGTATTTGGGGTTTGAGTATAATATACAACCATGGGCTGAAAAATAGTGGAAACATACGTTACCTCTTAGCTCCATTTTGAAGTGTTTCTGGAAGCAGCATTAACAACTAGATCACTTATTTTGATTCAAGTTTTTGGTATAAGTTGAAACTGTCCAGAACTTCATAGATAACTCTACCAGTATTGCTCACTCCTGTCCAACAATGTTCTAAGCAATTCTGGACCACAGCCAAAAATGATAGTACTTTATTTTATGTGGTGATCTATAACTACATAAACACTACCACAAAGTTTTCATCTGTGATTCAAGCAAAATTAATTTATTTCATTTTTAACGACAAGAAAAATTGCATGAAAAAATGTTAATTTGGAGAGAAAATTTTGGAGAGAAGTTTTGTGGTAGTTTCCTAGGACAGCTATTGTTTTTGATTAATCTCCCTTAAGTGAGTAATGATAAGTAAAGCTTTGAAACTATTGAAGTTAAATACCCATCACATCTTGTTCTTACATTTTCCACTTGATCTGTTCTAGTTGCTCTACTGATGGTCATCACTACTCATTCCAGTGCATTTCATAGCCTTAAATAAAGCATTTAGAAGGTACCTGCTAAAGCCTGGGGCTCTATACAGACAGGAAAATCAACATCTTTTTTATAATGTTCCAGTGAGGAAGGTAATAAAAAATTAAAACCTACAATAATTACAAGCATATTTTCTGCATAAATTTTCCAATACACAGACTTAAGGCCTGATCTGGCAAACAAGCAATCACACAATTAATTCCATTTACATTTTAGGATTTTGTTAAGCACATGCTCAACTGTTTTCAGAATAGGGACTTTAATGATACCAGATTTGCTTTAGCTGTGCAGACAAAAAAATAAATAAATAAAAAAATCCTCTACTTGTCACTTAATCTATAGATGATCACAGAACACTTGAGGTGAAATATTGTTTCCTTAAGCCGCTCCACAATCTTCTGTACCCTCTAAGAACCGCAGTTTTGATTCTAGCAAGGTAACTACACTGTGGTTCAAATTACATACAGGGTTGAAAAAACAAATAAAACCTTAAACTCTCACTTAAGCTCAACCTTTCCTCATGAAAAAAATAAACCCACCCAATTCTCTCTACAAAAGACCAAATTTAGACAGGATAATAAAAGTGAAGGAAGGAGTGGAATGAGGATAACCTTTGATCTTTAGCCAATTTCTACTTTCTTTTACCTACAGGATTTATTTCTGTCTGCATGTTACACATGCAGTCTTCGGATTCGTAAGAAGAAAGTGCCAACAGCGTAAAGTGGGTCGTACATACAGTATTTAAAGGAAATGAAGAAGAATGAACAGGCGCAGACTCCCCACATCTACAACTCACCCTTTGGGTCTGTGGGAAATCCAACAGCACTTTTAAGACAACATTCTCCTTCATTCTGTGAAGAAGGGAAAGCTCTACTGTGTTTTCCCTGCATGTTTTGAAAATTTTCTATGACCGCAAATATTGCTACTACCACACTCTAATTTTCTGAGGTATGTGCGGCAATAAATGTAAAGACTCTTGCAACGCCTTTTTCTTCTTTTAGGCAACCATACATAATATAACTCGTAGACATTGTTACAATTTTAGTTTGTCTGCTTAGTTTCCTAATGATTTTCCTAGTATCAATGTTATAATAATCATCCTCGGCTGAGTCAGGATGCAATGAACCATACAGAAAGCATCTTTCCCAACAGAGATCACGGTAAAAAGATAAAGCGTTGCCAAACTGAGTCAACATGATGGGGGCTTTTCTTCAGCATAATTACACTGAGAAAGTAAAGGTGGCTTGCCAGAAAAGGAGGAAACAACTTTAGCCTACAGTACCAACATTGCTGGTGACCAAATGAGTTATGGAAATTCTTAACAAAGAAACTTGGATCCTGTGTCACTGTGGCAACCTAGGAAAGATATTAGCTTCCTCAAGGAAATCCCCTGTAGTGCATAAGTAACAAAATAGAAAGAAAGGAATCCCAGTCAAGTAATGGTTTTAAGATGGGCTGTAGATCACGCCAAATAATTAAGAAAAACAAGAAGAAAATAGTAACAAGCACCACAAAAAGAATCAGTCATCCCCCCTGACATAAGGAGATCAAACACATTATTTGACACCCCACTGACCACCTCTAAGGTGAGAAAGGAGTCAGACAAGCATTTTGAATCCTGGATCTTCTAAATCACATGAATTTCTAGAAATCAGCAGCAGTTCTTGGCCCTTCTACTGTGCTTGCTGAAAAAGGTGCCAGCTGTCATGCTGGCTTTAAAAGATGTTTTCAGTTTGGATTTGCCGTATTCTAAAACTGTATGCATAACAGTTATAGACTAGTGGCATTTTATAGAAACAGAAAAAGTTCATTTATAAAATGGAAAGTCATGTTAAAACACCAGTGTTTGATTTTCAGTCCAGCCTTAAATGGACATTGCTGCTTTGAGGCTGCAGGTGCCTTCAGGCCATTTAAAGTCTGAGTGCCTGACTCAGTGACAGGCATCTATTAATCAGGGCTTGAAATGGCCCTGGCAGTATCCACAATTATTTGTGTCCATAGACATGAGTCAAAATGTCACATATTAATAATAATAAGAAAAAAAAAGGAATAGTACTTAAAAGTTCAATCATTTCAGTCAGTAAGTGAGAAAAAATTATACATACAGGGGTATTTCTCAAATCTTCTTGTAAATGTGCATAGTGAATTTGTACTTCAGAGAAGTTGCAGCATTTTTAAAAATTAGGCTCATAGAATGTGCCAGGAAATTGTGAGCATGGTTTTGTGCCAACTATTATTTTCATAATTTCTGTAATTTAAATGATAAAAGTACCTGTTTCCTTCACAGAGCCAATATTTAAACATCCAGGGTATAATTTGCAAAAGCACTTAATATTCATTTGCTATGATCCTATTAAAGACAATGATAAAACTTTGATTGACACAACATTAAAACACTACTAAATAGTTCTGAAAATTCTAGTCACCAATTGGTTTACATTTTCCTAAGGAAAAAAACCTCTGGGTGCACAATTGTATATTTAAGCAAAAATGACCAGATTAAAACTGAAACCATTATAAACCATGTTCTGCACTGGAGAAATACGCAGTACATGAGCTGTTAGTTGCCAACCTTTGAAATAAAAATCTAAACTTTTAAAAAAAACCATAACACATACTTTTTAATTATACCCTTTCCCCTCCTGCAGTGCTATTAGCGGAGGAGATAAAATATTCAGCCTTATGTAAGAAAATAATCTATTGTGGGAAGGCAGAAAGAGAGTAAACTAATATTGTATTATACTTACGAGCCAGCTGCCAGGCTTATTGAAGGACACAGTGTGCTGATCACTTGAATTACCATCTAAGCAAGTAATTCAGCTTTTAGTGGACTGATGTCCCAGCATAACACCAAGAGCCCTGTTTTGGTTTTTTTTTTTTTTCTTTTGTAACAGACAGGCTCCCCATGTGCTCCTTTTAGTTCTGCCAAACAGCAAGGAATGACATAGGTGAAGCTTCTGCCTCATTTGCCCAAGGTTGCTGGAGCAACTATACTCTAGCTGGACTTACTGAAAACCGAGAAAATGTAAAACCCTATAGAAAGACAACCAGGAGCTATTCCAGTTTTCTTTTTTTTTTTTTTTTTGTTTGCTTTTGAGGTATACCTAGTGTGACAAACTGAAGCAGAAAGTGGTAAACAGAGAGCAGGCAAAAGAGTTCTGAATCAGGCCAGTCCCCCCCCAAGGGACTCATCACACAACTGTGTTGTGCATTACAGATAGACGAAGTAAAACTATCAAGTCAGAGTTTGTATGTACAGCCTCCCATTTTGAGAAGAAAACATTTGAGAATGAAGACAATTTATGAATGTTATTCTTTTCACATCCTTTCTTCAGCAGACAGGGAAAGGAACCATATGGATGGGGTACACTCCCAGCCAGCACCACAGCACTCCTTGTTTGCATAAACAATCATATCTGCAACTTTAATTTACTTGCCAGCAAATGTGCAAACGTCCAGTTAGTGGGGACTAAACCTGCCTCAGTAGAAGACAGACCCCTTTCCTCTTCCCCCACTGTGCATAAGGAGAGCAGATGTCTCCTGCACAGTCACTTTTTGGGTGACAGCAGGCTGAGGAGAGCAGAGCTGTGGCGCTGGCCCTTGCTCAGGGGAGATGGCTGGTGGAAGAACCATATTGTGAAATCTCCCAAGGATATATTGACAACCATAAGGTTGGAGAAGCTTTGGACTTATGGAGAAAGCCTCAGCTTTCTTAGCCTCAGCAGCAGGGCCCCAACAGCTCTTTTGGCTTCAGCATCTTAAAAGCTACCATCCGACCCAAAATTACAGGCAGAGTTCTGGTGAGCTCGTCTGGCTACTCAGAGCAGCCTGGAGAGGAACACATGCAAAACACAAAAACTCCACAGTCTCTGTCCTGGACCTCCAAGCATGTATTTAACTATTATTTACCATTTAATCATGTCATTACTCTCTAATTTACTTGAGAATGTGTTTTCCTCTCATTAAAATTGTTGCAATGATCGCTGCCAAAAGTCTACCCACCAGTGTTCTGCACTCCTTCCCTGTGGTTCCTTCATGACTATTTGATTAATTTTCATTGATATTCTTCCAACAATAGCATCTAAAATTAACTGGGTCAGTTTTTACATAACTTCCTGAGTCATCAGGCTACGTGTCCTAAATAAATATGTCCATACAGGAGTCAAATGATAATTTACCCTTCCAGCACTGGCAGGAGCTAGAACATTTTGCAAAGCTTGTGTTCTATGACAAGAAAACACATTTTCTTCTCAGGTCTTAATTCAGGACCTTTTGTTCAATCAAAACTTCATTTGGATTAAGTCAGAGGTTTGACTGAGTTGGCAGGATGTGGCCCTGAGTGAGGGGGAAAGGGAGATTTTAATGCCAAATACATTCTTTTGAAAAACTTTTTCCAAATGGCTGAAATTACAAATGTTAGTGTTGAGGTACCTGAATTTAAATGGTAAAGATCTGGCCTCCAGGCATTAGCTGCTGATTTCTTGCTTTTAATACTG